AGCAAATAATGAACTAAAAAAAATTAATATATGGTTTAAATCAAACAAACTATCACTCAATATAAAACTAAATATATTCTATTCCAATCTACTCAACAAATTAAAAAGCTTCCCCTTAACCTACCAACAATTAATATAGAAAATATAGTCATTGAAAGAGCTCAAAACACAATGTTTTAGGTGTTCTAATTGATGAACACATCGCTTAGAAGCCCCACATCAATTATATAAATACAAAAATATCAAAGAACATAGGTTTACTTTATAAGGCAAAATTTTTCTTGACTCAAAAAAGCCTAATACTCGTTTATTTTTCATTCATACATAGCTATCTTATGTATGCCAATATAGCATGAGGCAGTACTTACATAACTAAATTAAAACCGCTTTAACTGCGTCAAAAGCACGCTTCAAGACTAGTGTTCAGCAAAAACAAACTTACTCATGCTCAACCCCAACTGGAGCAAATGAACGCTTTAAATATTTTTCAAATAAATATTTATCAAAATATACTTTTCATGTTTAAATATAAACTAAGTCTGGTTCCAGAACATTTTACAGCTCACTTTTTTGAAAACAACGTAAACAAATACAATACATGAGCAACGGGAAACTTTAAGATACTCTTTGAAAAAACTAAACTGTCAAAATTTTCAATAAAACATCGTGGTCCCTATTTATTTAACAAAATAATTTCTAGAAACGAATTGCTAATAAATTTAAACAACGAACAGTCCCTGAAAACAAAGTTAAAATCTTAAAATAAATCATAAAATAATCAAGTTAAACAACTACAAGGAGTTTTTCTAAACTCCATTTTAAAATTAAAAAAAATAAATAATATAAAACAACCCTAATAAAACAAAAAATGTAACTTTTCAAAAGAAACAATAAAAATAATACTAAAAGGAGATAGTAACATTAATAATTTTAAGGCATATATGTACCACATACATATTTATCACGTATGCAACTGATTTTTATATATATATATATATATATATATATATATATATATATATATATATATATATATATATATATATATATATATATATTGGTTGAAACATGGTTTCAACCTATATATATAGGTTGAAACCAACTCTATCTATTAAAGATATAAGAAAGACATTTTTATGGGATATATTCTAATAAAGACAAAAGGGGCCATCGATAAAGGACGTCATCCAAATAAGGAGGGGAGGAGGGAGGTGTTCGAGATAAAAAGAACAAAAATGAATAAGGGGGAGTGGAGAGTTAGTCAGAAAAGGACGTCTCTTTATAGATTTTTTGTTTTAGTTTAAATAACATGAAAAACTATGTAAATATGTGTTTTTAAGAAGATTATGTATGAGAATATTTTTAATTTTCAAAGGTGTAGCAGCAGTTTCAATCATCATTGCAAGATTAAATATTTTTATGGGGGGTTTAAATTTGGGGGAAGGAGGAACAGGATTTTATGACGTCATTTTCAAAAGGGTGTAGAGAAAAAGGACAAACGGTGATAAGGAGGAAAGGGGTCAAAAATTGGCTAAAAAATGATGACGTCCTTTATATATGGCCGCAAAACTATATACTTATTACTATTGTAACAAATACAATCTCATATCCATCAAATTGATAAATCTGTACCAGTTTTATATATTTTAATGTATTTGTATGCAATATAATAAAAATTAATAAAAAAATGTAAAATGAATGCAAAATAAAACTTGACGCATAAAGTTTTACTTTGCCACAAACTGACGTCAATGCCTAAAATCATTTCAAAATCAAAACAAAACTGATTACAGCGCATTTGGCCACTGCGCTATCAATGAAATACATTTAGAAGAAAAAAAAACCTAATTACTCTATATAATCTTAGTTTATTATAGTACTCTATATAATCTAAGCCTCTTATAATCTCTAGTTTTCCGTGAAAGGTGCGCTTGTTATGTTTTCTCTCTTAAATTTTTTTTTAGAATAAATTATTTTACTAAAAAATATTGAAGTAAATAAGGAACAGGTATAGAGACATTATATAGATAGAAATAGATATGTAAATTGATTAAGAGTCATTCCATGCCAAGTGGTCCAGAGGTCCCCGTTCTACCATCTCCAATTTTAAAAAAATTTGTCAGTATGACGGTAAATTGTAAGATCAACCTGTTGCAGAACTGATTGGATTTGGAATGACTGCAATAACATGATGCTCAGGTACCCAACAAGTGTCCTTGGTGCTAGGCCAGTAAAATGACTGAGCCATACCATGAGGATGCATAAAATCAATGAAAACATATTTCTGTTTTTCTGAAAATTCACAAAAATTTCCAATCCACCAATGTGCATCGTAAATACATGCAACTACAGGACTCAGATCAGATAGCGAACTAATTTGGTTGAGTTGTTGTTGTAAATTTTTTGTAACGTTAATCAGGGTTGTAACGTTGTAACGTTGTAAACTAATTTGGTTGAGTTGTTGTAGTAACTTTCATTAACATTTGCAATAAAAGATGTATTGTCATTTGAAATACGACTGATACAAACTTGATTTTCATTTACAGGTACAAATTTGTGGTTATCGCGAGTACCTGCAACTGTGTTTCCAGTACTAAATCGTTTCTCTTGATTGCCTTTTACACTGTCTACTTCATCACTGGCAACATAAATAAATGAAATACCCGTGACACTTTCCTTGCAAAAATCATATAAATTTAAGGGCGTCAAAATTTGATTATCAATTGGCCGTTGAAGACTAGCACATGCTGTTAAACGCTTCACAGTTCCTCCAATTCCATCACAGGGAGATTTTCCATGACTAGTAGCAAAGAAATTCCACTCTGCTTTAATGCCATAGTCAGTGTTATGGTAACATAAATTCATAAATTTTTTAAAGTTTTTGTATTGTGCCGCTGAACCGTCACTGAAATAATGAATAAGTTCAAAAGACAAATAAGTTTTAAGTTCAGCTATTAATTTACCAAGAAATTTACATGAACAGAAATAGTAAAATTTACATGAACAGAAATAGTATTGTGATGCATGCAATCACTGATAACACAATAACATGTATTTTTAAGTATGTCATTAAGTTTATAGTAAACAACAAAAGGATGTGGAGTTGTTGGGCTGTTTTCCCAGTAAAACCCTTGAACAGCATCTTGCACAACAAACGAATATTCAGAAAAATCCATCACAATGATCAACTCATTTGAATTCAACTCATTTTTCAATAATCGCAAATAGTTGTTTTGGTTTTTGGCAATAAAATGATGCTTAGATAAGACAGATACTTTTGAAATTAATTCATCAATAAAGTTGTCTACTGGTAACTGCAAAGATTCTAAAGTTTCACAATCTACTTTTATCCATTGCTTGAATGTTATAGTTTCATCAGATTCAAAGTCTTTAATCTGCTCTTCAAGATAAGCTTTTAAAATTTCAGTCCCCGGACATTTATTACAACGATGAAGCATACATTCCTTAGGTTCAATGTCAAAAACTATTTTTTCAATCAGACATTTATCAGTCTACTGTAACTGGGCTACTTGCAAGCATTAATTTTATATTTTGGTGAATAGTACATACACAAATATGATGAGTACTTGACAATCTAACAGATATACACCATTTTCGACGTAACTCACAAAATTTAGAAAATCCAACTTCAGCCTCATTTTCTTTGTTATACTATAAAAAAAGTTCCTTTATATTAACTAACAGTAATTTTTTTTGCATGTGCACTTTTTTAGCACCAATGCGCACAGATACAAAATCCTTTATCCCTGGACATGTTCTGCCAAAAGTTACATGTTCGTCAAATTTCAAAATTTTTTCTTTAACTTGTTCTGGTAACTTCTTTCCTGCATTTCTTTCTGGAAGTGCTAAGATTCTACTTTTTGCCTTTAACTTTTTTGCTGCTTTAGCCATTCTCTCTGATACTTTAAATTCACTACATATTTTTATTCTTGACCAACTGTTTGGTATCAGAGTTAAAATTTGAATTTTTTTACGTGGGTTATTGGTTGCTGATATTTTATCCTTCAATTCTAGTATCAAATCTGACCAGTCAATGCAATTCTCACACTCTACACTTGCACTGCTCAGTGGTAGGGCATTATTCTTTGGTGATAAACCACTAACAACAGCTTTTTTTTTTTGCAACTGTTATTTGCACTTTCCGATTTTTACCTTTTACATAACTAGCATGATCTCTCTAACTAACACGTTTTCTTAAAGGTGATATTCCAACATTTATTTAATAAAGATTATTAAATAAATCAAACATTTGAAATGCCAATACATTAATAAGTATAAAAAAATAACTTTAAGATCTTACACAAAAATAATTTAATTATTACCTTTATTATTACTTAAATAATATCCTTAAAAATGTTTTAAGCATATTATTTAAATGTTAACAAATATTTCTTTATTTAAAAAAATAAAACATTAAGTCACGAGAATCTCGTTCCTTATAAGAAACTTATTTCTTATAAAGAACCTTTTTAAAATTCTTAGAAGATTCATAAATATAGCTTCTTTTTTTTTATTTTTATAATCCAACGGAATAAACTTGCCAATGTTAAAACTTACGTTAGGCTAATGTAAGATTGCTGTCAGGGTTGGTGATTAGTGTGTTGAGCAGTGAACCAAATGAAAGCAGCAAACCACAACTAAAAACTCAATCATGGAACAACCAAAGTCATAGAAAAATGTTAGGGTGGTAAAACTTCTGACGAAAAGCGTAGAGCTTAGCAGGAAGCTTTGCTCTCAAAACTCACTCAGCAAAATAAGAGAAAATATTAAAGATGGAGTAGTCTATACGGAACGTGGATAAAAAGAAAACTTACCAAAAAATGTTTTTTTTCTGACAAGAAAAATATTTGGCTAGACTGTTTAGTTTAAAAAGAATACGTTTTTTATTACAAGTTTTGTGCCAATTTGCCAAATGTAATTTAAATCAAAAATTTATTGCTTTTCCAAAAATTTGTTTTTTATGTTTTGATTCCGTTTAGGTATTGAACCATTTGGTTATTTATCACCTGGCTCTGATACCGATTTATTTAGTTCAAAAACCAATTCGAGCCTACCAATCTCAAGAAGAGAAATTTTAAACCCAAAGGGTGAGTTTAAAAATCAAATTTTACCTCTGCATTTTTTTTTATTTGCTGTTATAAATTATTCGTACTTTTATGGATATATATGTCATAGGCACGAAAACTACATTTAGGCAAAAACATATATTGAAGTTTTTCTTTTATATAAACGAATTTAATGACATAAATTTTCATTGCAACAATTCAAACTACGGCTGCTTTTTTTGTTTTTGTCTATTTGAAAAGAATATCATAACAACAGTTTTTTTATATTTCAATCTATTGGAAATGCTTCTATTCTAAGTCGTTAAAAGCCATTACACTCCTTTGACAATCTAAGTTTTAAATTTGTTGCAATAAGCAGCTTTCTCAATTCTTTGATATATATATATCTATATATATATATATATATATATATATATATATATATCTATATATATATATATATATATATATATATATATATATATATATATATATATATATATATATATATATATATATATATATGTATATATATATATATATATATATATACATATATATATATATATATATATATATATATATATATATATATATATATATATATATATATATATATATATACATATATATATATACATATATATATATTTATATATATATATATATATATATATATATATATATATATATATATATATATATATATATATATATATACATATATATATATATATATACATATATATATATATATATATATATATATATATATATATATATATATATATATATATATATATATATATATATATATATATATATATATATATATATATATATGTATATATATATATATAATAATAATAATTTAAGAAAATTCATCAATTCATTTATTTTATCGATTCTTTATTTATACCGAAGTTTAGAGTCTAAAGATTCTCTTTTAGCACTTTTAAAGAAATTGCTTTCTGATTTTATTGATTTAACTTTTTCTCATTTAACATTATCACGGCAAACTTTGCAATGTTCAGCCGATACGGTGATGAATCAATGTTCAACCAATCCTGTTAATTTTTCACGAAATATTAAATATTGATGCTGCTTGATACTTGTTTTAACTAAAATTCCTATTTCACCTATATATTTAAATCCGTTCAAATGCGTTTCTATGAATTTTAAAAAAGTTGATGATTCATCTTAACTTCCAATCGGATTATCTCTTAGTTCTGAACTTTCTTGAAAACTTTAAATCATATCCATTTATATTCTCGTCATTTATTTATTCTCATCATTTTACTATTAATTTCTTTAGTTCTTTTTAACTTTTTATTACTTTTTATTTATTTATCTATTATTATGTTTCTTCCAGTGATTTTCAATAATAGTAGTTGCTTGCAACCCTAATGGAAGTGAACATTGAGGAAAAAAAATATATATTTTTAACACATGAAAAAAAAAATTTACCGATAATAGCCTTTTTTTTAACAAGGAGAAAATTTGGCTACACTGTTTTGATAAAATTAATAAATTCTTATTGCAAACATGGTGCCCAGTTGCCTTTTGCAAATTAAACAAAAAATTTATTTAAAAATATATATATATATATATATTTCACAAAATAGTACTTTTTTTTTTTGAATATATTTAGGTATTAAGCCACTGAGTGTTTTATCAACCGGTATTAAAACCGATTTGTTCAGTTTGGAAACAAAGCTAAGCAAGTTAATATTCAAAAGAGAAATTCTAAACTCAAAGAGTGAGTTTTAATTTAAATTTTACAACTGCACTATATTAGTCGATTTTGTTATTTTCTGTACTTTAACAAAAAGATTTCTTGTTATAGGCACGGAAAATACTGAAATATATATATATATATATATATATATATATATATATATATATATATATATATATATATATATATATATATATATATATATATATATATATATATATATATATATATATATATATATATATATATATATTCATATATTTATATATTTAATAAAAGTAATTTTGGCATTATATAGCCTTTTTGTTTCTAATTATCTTTATAAATAAAAGTTAATAAACGAGATGCAAATAGCTATCGACTGGGTAAAGAATTTGAAAACTACAAAACGAAATTCCAGCATTCCCGAACAAGTAAGAAAATGGGTAAGAATCTTTTTCTAATGTAAAATTTTTATTTTTTCTAACTAATTTTAAATTGAGCAGCAGCCGTATTCACATCCCTCCGTTAAACCCTGCGGTAAGCTATCGGCTGGTCAAAAGCAAAACAGCAGTTTTTAACGCCAGCGATAAAAAAACTCGTATTCTAATGTCTCCGTTTAGTTTAGGCAGGAAAAAAATTAGTTATCGGAAGACTGTTAACGCTAAAATCTAACCCTGCTTTACCCTTCTGTTAAAACTGCTACCGGAGATATTTTCTTTTATATAAAGAAAAAATAAAAATAGTATCCGAGCAAAACGAGCTTATTGAGTTTTCCTCATTAGTAACTGTTAGATAAACTATTTATTAATAATTGTACTAGAAATAAATAAGTTTACTTTTATGCTAAATAAGCTTTATTATATAAAAATATATTATATTTTAAGTTATAAAATAAATTATATTTTAAATTATAAAATTTTTTAAAATATAAGATATATTATAATATAAAGTATATTATATTTTATGCTTAATAAGCTTTATTATATAAAAACGATAATGTATTTTAATAAGACATTTTTTGTGTTTTATAATAAATACATTCATTTATCATGAAATTAAACGATTTTTGTTTAATAGTATATAAATAAGTCTATATATAAATACATAAATCTATGTAAATGCAATGTATATATATATATATATATATATATATATATATATATATATATATATATATATATATATATATATATATATATATATATATATATATATATATATATATATATATATATATATATATATATATATATATGTATGTATATATATATATATATAAATATATATGTATATATATATATATATATATATATATATATATATATATACATATATATATATATATATATATATATATATATATATATATATATATATATATATATATATATATATATATATATAGTATATATATATATATATATATATATATATATATATATATATATATATATATATATATATATATATATATATATATATATACATATACTTGTATACATTTATATATACATATATACATAAATGAGTGTCCGTGTGCGTGTGTTTTTATATTAATTTCTGAATCTTAGATTATAAGTAAATGAGACATTGAAATATTAGAAGTTGATTTTGCACAATAACACGATCGATTGCAAAGACTCGATTGATCTTAAAAAGTAAAAAAGAAGAGTTTTTTTCTTTCGTTGTTTATCAAACAATATTTGTATAACTTAGAACTTGAAATCTTTTTCTTAAACATATCTTGGCTTTACAATTTTTAATAACTAAATCTTTACATTTGAAGAACGCAATTGTTTTTTTTATTAGTTTTTTTGTAAATTTTTTAACAATTTTCAAAAGATTTTGATATGTATTGAAACTTATCTATGTATTATATAAAAACTGTTATAATTATTAAAGATAAATAATTATATATCATTTAATCTTAGTATTTTTTCTCTGTTAACAATAGTTTATTTTACAATCTTATAAATGAACCTATAAGTTGGGGTAATTTTACGTAAATTCACAACTAAAAATAAATAAATAGTTATTTTATATGCTTATATTAATATACAAAAAATAAGTTTTACAAAAATGGCGTTATATTAATTGACAAGAAAGTTATAATGTTTTTAAGTGCCTTTCTATAACTTTTTTTTTAATAAATCTTCTTTTAATAAAAGTATTTTTTCTTTGATGCGTTTCTTTATCTAACTCCACTAATTCCTTTTCAGAAATAAAGTACTCTCTTTCAGCCTTTAGATTTAGCACTTCTTCCCTAAATTTAAATTTCTCCTCAGTTAAGAAACTCTCTATATCAACAGTTGGCAGGTGGAGAGCTGGAGTAATTTTTTTTTTCCAGACAAATTTTGGTCGTTTTTTAATATATCATCATCTTGCACAGTAGATCGTTTAGTTTGTCCTGAGTTGTCTATTTTTCCATTTTCTGATGTAATTGCAGTGTGTAGCATTGTACAACTGGCACCATTAATCACAACTGGATTAACAGTATTTTGTACATCGGAAACAAAATCGAGGCTATTGGTTTCCACCCCTTCCAAACCAAAAGATATTGGAGAATTTTCTCCGTATATATCCAATTTTTTCTGACTGATTTCTGTTAAAATTACTGCTGAACCTTCTTCTGTCGGAATATTTTGTTGCTGATGAAATCTCTTTTTTGGCATTTTTAAGAAGATTATCTCATCAATCTTTCACACTGGTAACTATGGTAACTGTTCTTATATCAAATCCTAAGCTGCTTACAGCATCGGTGATCTAAAATACACCTAAGTACCAAAATTTATAATGCTACTTAAACTAATTTTTTTGTTCAATATTTATAATAAAAAAGGATTACCCCATTCCATTTACAATTTCTTGTATTATATATTATATCCAACTTGATTTTGGCTGCTTAGCATTTCCTATGGAAATGCTAAGCAGCCTAAATCAAGTTGAATCACTTTATTTATGAGTTTTTCAGATTTTAAATGATTTAACGATGGAATCTGATAACAACACCTATATACAAACAAAAAACAAAAAAACAAAAAAATGAAAATAGAAGTAGTAAATAAGTCTATCTACAAATGTGAAATAATAAAAGCTCGCGTCGATGAATGGCCCTACACAAGCTAGGCTGGGAAAAAAATACCTAAAAGAAAACCTGGAGAATATTGCTAGTAATTTTTATTTTTGTTTTTACTGTTACTTATTTAACAGACGCATAATAGTTTTAACACCCTAAGGGCTTAACCTTTTGATAAAATTTGTAAAAGTTTAAGCAACAACAATAATTTTTTAAATATTAGAGTTTAAGGTTTTTTATGAAAAAGTTTCAATTTTTTATGACCTAGCTTAACCTACTGTAAATCCTGTTTTATCAATTCCTAACCGATGTAATTTAACTCTTTTTCCTTGTCTTTGAATTTGTTACAATAGGCCTTACTAACTTGTTTTCTTTTGCTTTTTTAAGGTGCAGAAGAAAGTGTTTTTAAGTCATTAGAGAAGATAAAAGACTAAGGGTATTCAACAAATTTATTAGTCTTATAGCAAAACATTTACTGTGTTGTTGATGTGTTTTGCGGAGGTTAAGAAAAAGAGAAAGCGTAAGCCCTGGAAAAAGTCTTTAAAGCCAGAGCGAGGTGTAACAATATGTTATGAATAAATACCATCTATAAAACACCAGGTATGCAAATTGGCTTTTATGAATATTCACTCTGTGACTCGTAACAGGTTAAGAAGGCCTAAGCAACCTTTTGAAAACAGAGCAACTCCCTCGTTATGTTCGTAGACAAAGTAATTCAGGAAATGCTAAACCTGAAAGTGTCATAAACATGGTAAAAGAGCATATATCTGCTTATCCAACTAAATTAACTCACAACGGTAAAACTGAAAAATTTTGTGTTTATGACATGCACAATGCGTTTTAATAGATGTATCCTGGAATCAATGTAAATTACAATTTTCTTTGAAAATATTTAAGCAGTAGACTTCGTTGATGTTTGGATTACCTCAAGTTGACACATGCTACACATGTAACGATTTACAGATAAAAATTAAAATTAAATATTTAAGAGACAATGTTAAGACTGCTGTAGTTGTTGAAAGAATGTTTAAAATTCGCAGAGTCAAAATGTTTTGCAGAAAAATTAAAGAAATTAGACAAAAATGTCAAGATGATGATAAAATAGGAGGGATTTAAAGAGATTATATACAAAATTTGCAACTTCCTTGCATATCAAGAGCAATTAAGAGAGTTTTTACCTCAAGCAGCTGATCGTCAGTATTTTCTGCATATACAACTTTCGAGATATTATATTAAAATTTATTTAATGTTGTTTCTTAAATTCACAGTTTTCATATTTTAAATTTGGATTGAAAAATATAATGGACTTTCTTTGTTTAAATTGTTTATTTTTGATCTAATATTCTTTTCTTTTTTTTTGTATTTTCAATTGTTTAAGTTTAAACAAACAAAAAAATCTATTGTTTGTTGTGTGTGTTTCATGCTTTGTCGACAAAAACTTGGAAATGCAAGATATTTGATTTGATTCTACAAATAAATATGAATGATAAGTGATTATGTATCCCATCTCTGATGTAGTACATAGCCAGAAACTGAATAAACCTATAATGTCTATTGGTAACATAAATAGTTGGTTTAAGCTACCATACCCAATTAATCCTGACAATTACATTTTCGAAAACCAAGATCTACAATAATAACAAAGCCAGTAGGCTATGTATGACTTTTTTTTTACGATCTTAATCGGTAAGTTTGGTAAGTTCTTCCTGAACTTTATGAGATATCAAGTCATACGAAATATTGTCTACTCGACCAGGTTAATTAGTTTTTACAGCAAAAAATTAGGAGGACAGTTTAAAATAAAAATATTGGATTTTTCAGAAAAAATACTAGATTAGTTGAAAAAATTATGAAAAGAAATAAATAATAATAAACAATTGTTTAAAAATAAACTAGTTTAAAATAACGATCTAGGATCATGATCAATTGAAAGAGCATAAAATAAAAACTACTAGTCAGAATTTTAAAAACAAGACCTTGTATTTTTTGTCAAAAAATTGACTTTCAGAATATCCGAAAACTTTAAAAAAAATTTATTTATTTTAGTTACGTGATCAAAGTATATTATGTTAAATTTAACAAATATATATATATATATATATATATATATATATATATATATATATATATATATATATATATATATATATATATATATATATATATATATATATATATATATATATATATATTTTTTAAACTTAAGGTGGTACCCAGCCATTATTATGGTAAAAAAAGACAAAAAAATTTAAATCTTTCAAAAAATGTTAATTAGACATTTGAACCTTGTAGAATCCAAGAGTAAAAATATTTTTTCCAAAATAATTTTAGAATATCAATAATATTCTTCTCAAACATATGATTTTTGTGAGTAGTGTACATGATTTATAATTTCAAAACTGATTTTTCTTAATTTTTTTTTTTTTTTTTTTATGAGTAGCTGTAGGAAAACAATGATATCTCAATAAAAAAAACATTATTTTAGCTTCAAATTTTCAGGATATGCTCATTATTATTGTTTTTAATGCCTAAACCTAAAATAAAATTTAAAAAAAATCAAACTTAACCTACTATTACCATACCAAATAAGAGTTTTATCATTAAAAATAGTTTTTTATACTATTAAGTCTGCTATTTTTGATCGTTTAGATTTTTTTTTAAATTTTTGGTTCAGGGGCAAGCTACACTAATATTCTAGCGTTTAGCAAAATTACAACCTATGTATTGATGTAAACTTAAGATATTTATGTTCTTGGCAAGTTAACTTTTTAAATAAGAGTTTTATCACAAAAAATTGTTTTTTATACTATTAAGTCTGCTGTTTTCGATCGTTTAAATTTTTTTTAAATTTTTGGTTCAGGCGCAAGCTACACTAATATTCTAGCGTTTTGCAAAATTTCAACCTTTAATATTGATGTAAACTTAAGATATTTATGTTCTTGGCAATTTAACTTTTTCACCTTTTTTTGCTGAGTCAGCAATTTTTTTTCCATATCAAAAAAATATTTGCAATACGTTTTAGATTTTTATCTATTATGCTAGTAATTCATTAAAGGCATTTATTATGTGTAAAATATAAGAAAATAGAAGTAATGGCTGGGTACCACCTTAAACAAATAAAAAAGAAATAAATAAACATATTATTTTTGATATTAAATTAATGAAGCCTTTATAGTGCTGATCAAACAAAAAATATCCACAACTGTCATTCAAAAAAATATAAATGATTTCATTTATATCAATTTAATATAACCTGTTCTTCGTCATTTCTTAAAATTGGCTTTTGAGCGATCTATAAATGCAATTAAGAAACGGTTTGAAGCATTAACTAAAGAAATTATATACAAATTAAAAATAATTGCTATAGATGTTTTTAAATTTTTAAAATATTTTATGCGCCGCCATGCAGGTCACTCGTCATTTAGATACAAATTTTATGAACCGCCATACGGGTCACGTGTCACGAAAGGATTAACTGTATTCTGGCCTAAGTAATAAATCCTAATAAATTATACCTTTTCTTATTAGGGATTCAATTTGAAGTATTTTATTTGAAGACTTTATTTAAACCAACAAAAAAGCGAACTTCACTCGATTATCTTTATTTTGAAAATCGACATTTCAGAGGGTCACCTTGAAAACCAGTTGTTAATATATAAGTATAACTACCATTAAATAAATCATCACAATAGTAAGCAGAAGTTTAATGTTTTTATCATAATCTTTGTTGTTTGTTTGTTATA